TTCAAGTGATTGTAGCGACTTGGAGGCGATAACACCAGGACACTTTTTAACCGGAGCGGCTTTAAGCGCTATTCCAGAATCTAACCAAATTCAAGAAACCATGAGCTGCAGTGACCGTTGGAGGAACGTGCAAAGGTTATTTCAACATTTCTGGAATCGTTGGAGCAGTGAGTATTTATCTAGATTGCAGCAGAGACCCAAGTGGTGCAAGTTACAACAAGACCTGAAGATTGGTGATATGGTTCTTATTAAGAACGAAAATCTACCTCCGCTACGTTGGAAATTAGGTAGAATTATTAAAGTGTATCCCGGTCTGGATGAGAAAGTTCGAGTGGTGAGTTTACGCACGTCTAATGGTGAAATAAAACGACCTATAGCAAAGCTATGCGCTTTGCCATTTAATTCTTGATTTAGAGACTTTAATTTTTTTTTTCAGGTTTATGCAGTTCAACAGTTTAAATTTATTGTTTGAACCCCCTTGGGACTTCAAGGCTGGGGGTATGTTCGATGTTATGCAAATTGTATTTCTTTCTTTGTACCGAGGAGCGGCGCAGACGCAAATTTGTTAGGTTTTTAAAGCTCGCGTTTAGAGCTTTGAGGTTGCTGTGAATTACTGGAGTTTCAACTAGGCAGAGGTTCTTCTGAGTTTGTGTTGGTAAGCCGCCTGAAGTCGGAGTTTGTGTGGTCTTCGCCGTTCCTCTTCGCCTAACTTACTATTTGAAAGTCAATAAAGAAGTTTCGGTCAACGTTAGGAGTCTGAGGTTTTTTGGGTTCTATACTGAAGTAACATCAAGTCAATTTACAGTCCACTATTTTTAAACAGGAACGTACAAGAATGTTTTTTAAAATGAAATAGCACTAATAATTAAATTCTAATCAATTTACTTTTAAACAATGTAATGGTTATGTAAAAAAATTTCTTTTCTATCAACAATTGGCATCAGTGACGTTCTGATGCCAATAGTGAACTTCAGTAAAAAACCTGACCAATTTCTGGAACTAGGATGTAAACTGAACATAAAAAGAACAAGCAGACCAAGAGAACAAAACGTATGGTTTTACATATTTGCAAGAAATTTCTTTCTCATTTCTTAAATTTCATCATTTTGAACCACACTTCACTGAATTGTGGATTGTTCTGTCAGGACCCAAATATGTCATTACAATTACTTTTTTGTGCAAATGAAATTGATATTATTTAATAGCATAATTTAATGTAAATATCTATATGGAATTTAATGATTCATGTAATACAATTATTATTAATTTAACTATTAGGTGCAGATTATTAGTATGCAGACAAAGAATGAAAAACATTTAGAGATCATAAGGTTTACAGAGTGAAAAAAACTGAAGTAGAGTTCACTCACTAGCAAATGCTTAAGCTTAAATTATTACTCACATCTTTTAAGAATTTAAAATGACTTGATTAAAATTGTGAAGACTAAAAATTTTATGCAGAAGTAGTATAAGGTATTCCCTCTTAGAGTGCCTTCGTGATGTGGTGGTCTGCACACTGGGCGCGTATTCCAGAGGTCGGTGGTTTGATTCCCGGTGAAGGCATTGCTAATTTTTCATCTCTTCTGCTACCCCCCCAAAAAAATCCTAATATCTCTACAGTATATTTCAAAGTTTCATGGAAACACAAAAAGTTACTTAGGGAACAAAGTTGAAGTCAGTGATCTTTGCACTAAGTAACTGCTTTGTAACACCTCTGAATATTTATTATTATTCATAGCATGTATTCGTAATTACACTTACTTTTAAAATTTCATAACAAAATTCTACTTTAGACTCATATTGGTTTTAGAGGAAAATTATACACATTTAAAAAATAATTAGGACCTTTTTCTTCAGGGAAAAAATTTCACAAGTTATTATTTTGTAACGTGTATATAAAATGCACAATTGTCAGCATAAAAGATATTTTCACACCTGAAATAATGGTTTATTAATTGCAGAGATTTTTGTGATACATGCAGATGATAAGTGGCAGAAAAAAATTAATGGTTTGATTTGAAAATATGAACTATTTTAGCCTAGTAGATGATTTATTTATTGGCTAGTTGAAAGTAGTTTAGCATAGAATAAATTTTAGGCAGAAGAAAAAATGGAGTTGATGCGAGAATATGATGTGCGTTATGGTTTTCTACGATTTAAAAGTGGGAATAAATCAAGAGGAATACATTTAATGTCTACATTTGGAAATGAAAGTCCATCTTGTGCTACTGTATTGAGATGGTTTAAAGAATTTCACAGGGATCTCAACTCTCTTTAGGATGGCCATTGTCAGCAGTAATCTTGCATAATGTGTCTGCCATACAGAAAATGTTAATCAATAAATAATTGCACCTACCAAATGATACAGAAGGAACTTAACATTGGATCCACCACCATACATAAATTTATTCATGAAGAATATCAGATGAAAAAACAAGTTTGCCGCTGGGTTCCCCATAATTTAACTGAACACCAAAAGGAGGAGTGTGTCAGAATAAGTAAAGAAACCCTAAAATTACTTAAAGATGATGGCCACCACATTATTTCTAAAATTTTAAGTGGTGATGAAATGTACATGATACCATTTTTTGATGTTGCAGCACATCAAGAAAATAAAGTATGGGGCTTTGAAGATGATCTTACACCCACAATGGTGAAAAAAAATGTGCCATGAAAAAAAGCAATGCACGCCTTTTCTTCAGAAGTACAGAACTGGTCAAAGCCATCAAGAACAGAAGACAATCACAGCTAACTGGTACACCATTAAGTGCCTTCCAAAAACTCTTTAAAAAGTGCCTGTTAGGGAACTCATGCTCCATCATGACAATTCATCTTCTCATTCAGCAATATTGCCAGTCAAGTTTCTTCAACAAAAACACATAAAGCCGATAGAAAATCCACCCTATTCACCTGATCTAGCTATCTGTGAATTTTGGCTATTTTTAATATAAAAATGAGCTTAATGTGGACATTGTTTCATTCCAAAGCTGAGACTGATGAAGCTATAAATGCATTTTTTTATAGATTCCAAGAAATGAACGGTTTGAGGCATTTAACTTTGGAAAATTTGCTTACATAATTGCATTGATTCTGGAGGACTCTACTTTGAACATTCCTAAAATTTCGTAAGTATAACTTTAAAAACCTATGAGTCTCAAAAATTTCAGAGTGACTCTCGTATAATAAAATTATATATATATATATATATATATTATATCTGAAAAATCCATTTAATTTTCTATTGACTACTGAATGGAGACTTTCATTTTCTCTATTTGCAGATCCCCCATACAGAAAAACATATGCTAAAAATCACATTACACAGGGGGAAAAAAGTTAGTGACACAAGCGGAAAAAATTAGTCACAAAAGAAACATACTAAGTCACAGTACGATAAAAAAATATTGCTGATTTTCATCTGGGCTATACATGCATAAGTTAAAATGGAAAAATAATTGCAAATGCCAAAATTGCTAAGATATATATTTATTGGCCATTATTATTTCTTAATTGCAAATTTCTGCAGCAGATGAGAAGCAGAAAAGGAAAAACGTAACCAGTTAAATTTATAGCTATTATACACCGTGTTTCAAAAAAAATATATGTATTATAAAGTGTTTTTTTTTTTGTCCAAACTATCGATCACTGTGCCTCGGCTCAGCTATTGGTGAAATGAATACATAGTCTAGTTTATATTAATAGCCACTAGATGTCAATTGTGTTCTGTTTTGCATGGTTACCGTCATATCTTTAAAATGGCAGATCCGCAGCAGAAATCATTTTGTGTTCTCAAGTTTGTGAAGTGCAATTTCGTGATTACAGTGTAAAGACGTTTCAAGTTGAGGTACCAAAGTGATCCTCCGAATGGATGGAGCATTCACAGATGGTATTGACAATTTGTAAATACAGGATGTGTATGTACAGGAAAGAGTCCTGGCTGCCCTCATGTTCCTGAGACGTCGGTTGGTTATGAAACCGTACAAGTTACGTTTGTTACAGGCTCTGCTTCCTGATGACAAATGCAAGCGTGTGGCACTTTTGTAATGAGATTATTGATGCTATTAACAATGATAACACTTTCGCACAACACATTGTGTTCAGTGATGAAACGACTTTTCATGTTAGTGGTCATGTAAATAAACACAATGTTCGAATTTGGGGGGCTACAGAACCCACATGCAGCCATTGAACATGTACGAGATTCACCCAAAATCAATGTGTTTTGTGCGGTATCCTGATCATCTGTTTATGGCCCATTCTTCTTTGATGGAAACACGGTTAACGGTCAGCAGTATCTCGCTATGTTACAAAACTGGTTGTTTCCGAGGTTGCACGAAGATAACTTCATTTTTCAACAAGACGGGGCACTCCCTCACTGGTGTCGCCAAGTGCGTGATTATCTGAATGAAACTCTACCAAACCGTTGGATTGGTCGTCAAGGAGCTGGTGACTTAGCATGTTTCAGATGGGCTTCACAATCACCAGATTTGACACCCTGTGACTTCTTCCTGTGGGGTTTCATTAAAGACAGTGTTTATGTACCATCACTCCCACAGAACCTGGAAGAGGTGAAGAATCGGATCCATACTGTCATAACATCAGTGATGACGGACATGCTTGCCCGAGTATGGGAGGAATTTGAGTATCGATGATAAACTGTTCATGTCGCTGATGTAGGACATATTGAACATTTGTAACATCTGTAATCTCAAGTTGAGAGGTTCGTACATATGTGTGTAAAGTTTCATCTTTACATGCCATACAGTTTAATAAATATATGCATTTCAAAATACGTATATTCTTTTTGAAACACACTGTATAAAGCATGGTAGGTTTATTAACTGGCCTTAGTGGTGCAAAACCAGCATAGAGGTTTCTGCACACCAATCACAAACTGTTTTTAGATTCAGAGTTCCAATTAATTCATAAAACACGAATAAAAGAGATAGAACAGAATTTTATTGAATGGTTAGTACTAAGGTTAATGGGTTAGTACTTACAAGCAGGTAGGTTTTTCATCATTGTTCAGTGCAGGAACACAAGTAGCATGATTAAAACAAAAGTTATTGCATGAGGTACTTATTTCACATCGTTTTCCAGCCCGCCCACGTGGACAACTGCAGAAATATGTATATATAAAAAAAAAGCATACTAAAAATAATGCTAACAAGAGGTTAGATTTTAAACATTTTCTTAGCAATAGGCAAAATGTGAAGCACCTATTTCTGGCTTAATATATTATGCAATATACACTCATCATTGCAAAAATTACAACTTCATGAAGAAATCTTCAGATTATAATGAACTTAATGCCAATTAGTAATAATAGTAATACAGATTAATGATTACAGTTTTAGTATAATCTTATTACATCAATCACACAAAATTAGTATTTTATAAAGCTGCTATAAGCAATGCTAAGAGTCTTTTATATAGAACAAATCAGTGCAAAGTATATAATTTTGTACTTTGTACAAAAGTATAAAAAGATACCAAATGAAAGAGATTTTAAACATGTTTCTGAAGTACTGCCTGCCAGGCTACTTTGATCCAAGCTCACTGGTATGGACTGCAGGAGATGTGTGATAGACCAGTTGACAAGTATCTATCTTATACATATTTAATTAGAAACAAATCTGACCAATGAATACAACAAAGAAGAAGCATCTGCTTTAGTGTGATGAAAATTTCAGCATTCTGAGATAAATGTAATCAGTTGTTGTCTAGTTGGAAGAAAATTCTAGGATTGTGTTCTGAAGGAAGAACATGATCTCAGCCTTTAGCAACTTCTCTGATACATCAGTTACTGTTGAGAGTACCCACAACTAAGATCAGCTAGGATCATATATGTTAACAAATGCCACTTCACATCATAACTGTATCATCACATGTCCAGTATATGTAATGCTTTAAACAGCATGCTGAAAAATAGCACTCAACATAAAGCAACCTCAAGCATATGTGACCATAATTTTAGTCAGGTATGAGTGAGACTAAAAAAAAAAAAAAAAAAAAAAAAAAAAAAAAAAAAAAAAAAAACAAAAAAAAAAAAAAAAAAATATATATATATATATATATCTCAAGCATGATGGCACTGTTTATATTTATGGTTAAGGAAATACTTTTAAGCAATCACCTGTGCAGAAACAAACAGTAAACGCTTACTGAATACGGAGGTTACGTCAATAACGCACTGTACATACTACAAACTCATGTTCTCAAAGTTAATTTTCTAAGAAAAAAAAAGGTTTAGGTACACTTCAGATTAAGAATGCACATATAATTTAAACAAACCTAAATATTATTGTAAATAAATGGAAAAATGAAAAAAAAAAAAAAAAAAAAAAAAAATGTAAATGTTGATTGAAATGATTTCTATTACTGTTTAATAAGTAGGTATACCATACATTTATTTTTTTAAATAGTTTGTTATTCTTGCTTGGGACAAAGTCTGATGAAACTTATTTAAAGTTTTATGGTAAGAAAAACAAAGTTTTTTAATACCTCTCAAAAACTACCATATTTTTCTTCATTTAGATCAATCACCATTACAAAATCAGACAATTCCTGTCTTTTCCACAATTAGTTTAACTTCTTGTATGTTAAAGACCCTTTATTTTCTTCCCGAGTGCTGCTTTCACCATCAGCTGGTGGTATCAGATCTTCCAATTCTTCCTTTGTCATTTCATAACTGTCATTCTTGACTAATTCTTTGATTCCTCCTTTTCCATAGCCAAAAATCTTTTGCTGCCTATCGCTTTTGCAATCTGTGTGATTTCCTCGTCTTCATTTTCATTTGATGGAAATTCTTTGAAGTTGTGGACAATTTCTGGCCAGAGCTGATGACAGTAAGCATTCATTGTTGCTGAATTCACTTATTCCCATGCAAGTTTAATAATTTCTATGCAGTGTCTTATGTTGAATTGTTTCCAAAGTCCCATTAGTAAGTCATGCTTTCCTTTGTTTAGTGCTTTATTTGCAAAGATATAAATATAATAGGTTTTGAATGTTTTTATGATTCCTTGATCCATTGCTTGAATTAAGGAAGTAGTCTTCGATAAAAGGAATCATATCTTTGCGTTTGGACGTAATGTTATGAGTGCTTCAGTATCCTGGAGCATTATTCAGAAATAGGAGAACTTTTAAGCTAAGATTTTGCTGTTTTAAGCAACGCTTGACTTCTTTAATGAATGAAGTTTTAAACCAGTTATTAAACAGGACTACCACTATGCAGTTGTCGTTTTCCATCACACTGCATAACTGAAATTCTCCCATTGAACAAATTAAATAGAGATAGAACCTATATGCAAAATTACATTCTGCAAGGGCATTTCATTATATTTTCAGATCGTGGGAGCAGAAAATGTCATATTTGTAGCACTAATTGAATGCTGTCATAATACTCAAGAAATTGCACACTTCATCACTGTGTTGTGGATGAGATATCTGTCATTCTGAAGTGTTATTACATTTATTGGTCCTAGGTTGCTCAGTTTTCATCTAGTTCAATTTTCTTCAATCCTCTGTTTTCTCATTTATATACTTGCAATGGTAATATGTTCTATATGAATATCCTCTATTAATGTAGAAAAATTTTGTCCCTATTCGAGCTTTAAGATTCAATTTTATGGTGCTCTTTGACACTGATAATCTACAGTGACTATGGACCTAAGGACAATTTCCAGCTGACTGACAACAAAGGCTACTTGTCTGTTTCATCAACAACCTTCTGTTTATAATACTCACATGATTATTCCTAGGCCACTGCAGAACTTACACATTATTGTAAATATCTGTAAACATTTAAATCCGTTTTATTGAATTGTTGTAATAGTGTTTATTTTACCTATTTATTTGTTTCTTTTAGTGTGATAGTTTTAGAGCTTATTTTGTGTTTAATCCAATTTGTGGCCACATATTTTAAGTATTTATTTCTTATATACAATCATAGATCTTTCCACTGAGTCCAACAATATTTAAATTATAAAAATAGTTTCAATGAAAAATGAGATAAGGAAAAATATGCTTATGATAACATTCAACATGCTTTTGATGACTTGACAACTTTCTGGAAGATTTGAGAAAACACATATTTGAAGTTTTATGACCAATTTTTCCTGAAACCTGTGCTACAGTATATAAATACAGATCCAATAGCTAAGAAGCTAATTGTTATCTGTGAGATTTAGTGGTTGAAAGACCATTAACTAAACTGCGATTTAGAGTTTGCTCTGTAATTGATCATAGGGAATTCACAATATTTCTCATGAGCTATAGAAGAATATCTTAATATCTGCATTCTCCATAAGCCATTTGCAATTATTTACGGTGCTGTTGTGTAGTTAATTTTTAAAATAAATCATTAATTTCTTTATGCTCATCTGGAGTGATCATTTCAAGATGAATCAATGAATAAAGAACATCAATGAACCAGCAACACTTTCTCTAAATTTCTATCTTTTGCATATCAGAACCCTCCTTTACATTTTCCATGAGTTCCATTTTAACCTGCTGGCACTGCAGTTTTTATAAGTGTGCATGGAAACGTTTAAAAACCAATAATAAAATTTATAGGTATCTGCAAAAGAATACAACAAGATGAGTCAGAAAGAACTCTCCAATTCATTATGCAGCAAAGCCGCAATTTAGAAGGGTACAATGATGGGGTGCATACCAAGACATAACGACTTACCTGCCATTTCAGTTCAGAATAGATCATTATAGTTTGTTTAAGGAACATTGTGCTTTCACTGTAGACCAATGGTAGGTTGCTAATAAAAACACAGCTTGAATTTTGCATCCACTTTGGGCTCGGCCAATAGGATCCTATTTCAGACACAAACAAATGCACATGTGCGAATGTGCGTGCACATACACACATATACAATGGAAAAAACACTTTTTTTTTCCCTCTCTAACTTTTAAAAACTCTGAAGGAGGTGATACAACAGGAAGTTGCTTCCATTATGCCTGAAATGACACTCAATGACTTGGACCACTATCGAGAAGGCTCAATCTGCACATAAAACAATAGGAGCCACCACTTGGGTGATGTTTTGTTTAAAACAATATATATATATATAAAACATATATGTAAAATGGTATTATGTGTTTTTTAAAAAATAAAAATAAAATGTTCATATCTTGTTTGATTTGGATTTCAGTAGCTTCCCAACCTGAAGAGTTTTTTTTTTTGGGGGGGGGGTCGCACTCTGTATGTAATACAGTTTTTTGATAAACATCACACTTCTTTTTCACTTCGATCACTTTTGAATAAACATCACACTTCCCAATAAATATTGAATACTACATGTATGTTTGGGACACAAATCTAGAAGAAAACAGTCGGAGAAATAAATCAGATTGATTCTACTACACAACACATTTAGTCACATGGCGACTGAAAAATGACTAAGCTACTGCCTGCAAAGTTTGGCATTGCAAGTGTCTTTATAAAAATTGACTCTGATCACAAATAAGTGTCCTATAAATTACTGCAGAAAAACATCTAAAAGATACTGTGTGCAGCCATTAACAAGTTGCATGCATGTTGCAAAAGTTAACAGATGTTTTCTGTTAATTAAAAATTAACATTAATCTCTGTAACAGGCAGGCAAAATGAATAAATAGTTTAAACATAGAAATAATCATGATATATGAAATTGAGCTTACGTTAATAACTGACATAGTAAATTATTAAACAATTTTGGCGGTCATGCTACATAATTTAGCTGTTAAAGAGCAGCAACATATTCTCTACTGGAGATATGTATGAAGTGGCATTATCCAGAAGAGTACAGTTTCTGCTGTAGTACAAACACAGTTAAATAACCTTTTGACCATTTGGCCTAATGATGTCTCATTTTGAGCACAGACACTTCAGTTTTGCATATGATTAGAAGATGATTGCCCAACATTTCTGATTCCAAAAAGAGCCTAACTTAGCAAATCAAAAAACATAGTGAAATTGATCATTTTCTTTGATAATGTGAATTAGTGGTACCACACATCCCTGTAAAAGTTTCATACTATATGTAAATGCTTGTGTCTTTGGTACACAACTATAGAAGAAAAGAGTCAGAGAAACAGAAGATTGGATGGATTCTACGACACAATATTTTTAATCACATGGCCATTAAAAGGTGACTAAGTAATAATTTTTTACATTACAAATAAAACTGCCCTATAAGAATTGACTGTTAATTTTTTGAACATAGGGATGCATTAAATTACACGATAATAAAATATGCAAACAAAAAAACAAAAATATTTCATTCTCAAAAAAGTCATTACTGGTGCAAATTGTTCCAGCAATACAATAAAAGCTTAGTATAAATGCCTGAAAGAAAAATTACGGCTATAACTATAGGAAATTATGATTCTTCATAGAAAAACAGCAATATCTGAACAAGAATGACATGATTTCATTTGTATCATGTTATTATAATTGAATGTAGATGAAGCTGGCATTTCCATCTTATTCAATATTATAATTTATGACTCATAGTAATATTTTTTTCCAAATTTGATTTCCTTTCAAAATCAGCTTATTATTCTAACAAATTCGCAGCAGATTCAGTTCAAAAAGGCTTGCAGCTCTCATTTCAGAGTCCTACATTACACTATTTTAATGTATGAAAAATTTAATGTATGTTTTTCTTAATTATTTTAGTATGGAAGTTTAGAGATTCTATGAATTTAGAAATTAACAATATATCATGAACTTGTCCTGAAGATTGTACTTTTACTACAGGTGGCCCTCTAAAAAAAACACACACACATATATATATATATATATTCTGAGAAGAAACTCACGTGCACAATGGTGGTCCAACACCATTTGGTGGCAAAGTACACACTCCACCATGCAAGCAGTATCCCAAGCATTTATTCCAGTTATCAGATAACATTTCACAAAGAGGACCAACCCATCGAGAAAGACAACTATGGAAAAAAAAAAAAAGATCATATAGCAAAAATGTTTATAGTTAAGAAATATGCTTTAACATAATATTCATTACGTTAAAATAATTGATAACACTATCTGAATAAAGTAAATACATTATCAAAGCAAAAATCTAATAAAAAAATTATGAAGTTTCATTTAAATCATACGTGCCTCATAACTAAAGCTTAACAGAAGAGAATTCATTAAACAATCACAATATGAAAATGAATAAATTTAGGATTTAAAATACACTAAAAATAAGAAGTTTTAAAAAATAAAATGACCTAATGTAAAAGTTCATTTAACATAAAATTAAGCACCCCTAAGTATCAATATTTTCTTTCAATTAAAAGTTCATAAACTTGCTTCAAATAGCTTTTAAAAATCTTTGCAAACACAGCAAAGCAGAATTGTTCAACTGAAAAGTTCAACTAATTCAATATATAGCTAATGATAACATTTGTAAAGAATGGCATAAACACAGTAGAACGTTTATAATCTCATTAATATTTATTTGTTTACTTTATTAAACATTTCTTTCAATGCGCGCATGCATAAAGCATACATTACGCATAGTCGAAATTAGAAAATTGCAATCAGAAAACTATTTGATGTGTATTTGTGATATTTATAATGACGAGGAATTTGATTTAAATCATATCAAATATGGAGTACATCAAGATGAAATACTACATTTAGTAAGGAATTATAGACCGAATAAAATAAAAACATCTGCCCTGAAGATAAGGATAGTGCTGACAGATCAACATCCAGTTCATTGCGCGCCATGACGTCCCCCCCCCCCCGCAGAGCTGTGTGAAATTGATAAACAGATTTCAGAATGGTTAAAGAAACAAAGGATATGCCTTTATCCATTTTTTGCAGCAATTCCACTTTTTGTTTGATGGACATCGAAACATGCTTTTGCTCAGTAGATACTTTGGCAGCTCCAGAATAGGAAATTCTCTTTGACATAATCGAAAGTTCAAGCTTACTTTTATAAAACTACTCTTAACAGTTTGCAAAAAATAATAAGCCAGATCCAATTAGAAGATTAAGGAACAACGCAACCTGCAACAATAACTAAAACAGATAATTAGATAATTTTAGCTTAGCTTATACTGTCCGTTATACATTAAACGCATATGCATAAAGGTATTATGCACATGCGTAAACACTACGCATGCGCAGAAGGTTTGTAGGTCCTGATTATAGATCATTCCGTATTATGTGCATGCGTAAAAGTATTACACGCATGCATAAATGTATTATGTGCATGCGTCAATGCATGCAGAAAGTTTGTAGCTTTGAGGTCCGGATTATAGATCATTCTGGATTATGGGCGTCTGGATTAAAGACTTTTGACTGTATATGCTCCTTCAACCTCAAATTACTCATTCATATTCTTACTGGTTACAATGCAAGTATTAATAAAACTTAATATGACATTCATAAGAACTCTATATTTACTTAAAAAATAAAAGACTGTTTTAAGATAACAAACTAAAAAAAATTCTGAACAAATTAAATGATTATAGCTAAGAATACCATACTATGAAATAGTTTGAAATAATTAAACACAGAAATCAGAATGCTGTATAAAATTTATTCTAGGCTATTGAAAGTAATGAATTATTGAAAATAATGAATGATTACAGTTAAAAGATCTACATATTGAGATTGATTTACTACTTGAAGATGGCAAATTCAACAAATCAGTGTTAAAATTATTATATTAAATAAAATTACTACATTTTAACTAAACAATAATGTATACATATAACATACAGCTACTCAGAAAATTACCATTATTATTATTTAATTTATGCATGTTGATGTAAAGATTATTCTGAAAGCCTCAAATTATTAAAAAAATGGTTCTGATATTTTAAATTTATTTATGATTTTTTATTAACAACATTTTTAAAAGTTAGCATTTAAAAGATAAATTAGCAGACATCATAAAAAGGCTTTGATCAACAGTTTGCTGTATTTCCATTGTTTAAACAACTATCAATTTTTAGAATGTTTACAAATGATTTCAACGAAAACCTTAATTTCAAACACTTGTACAGAAATGGTGTTTTAGAACTTAAATAAGATTGTATTATTACTAAAACTTAATATTGGAAAAACAGTTTTTCTAAAGGGGAGTTGATGCATTTATATGCAACATCATAATATTGTTACGAAATGTACAGGCGCAGTAAGATGGCTTCCCTGCAAAGCAGTTTTAGGGTTGCCACATTTGGCAACAAAATTGGCGATATGTCATGGACAAATAGAGAATCTTCTGGAACGAATTCTTACTGGTTTAGTCCAGAATGTTCTTGAACACAAGCTGAAAGCTATATAAACCCTGCTGGTCCGCAGTCAGGGAGTGTGCTTCATTTGAGAGGGCGAGTCAGAGTGCCTCGTCTGAAGTGCGAGTTAGTTAGTATCGAGTTGGCGTCACGTCTAGTGAGTCAATCAAGTTGATAGCCGGGCAGCGAGTACCGAGTGGGTCGTCGAGTGCACCGAAAGAGTCTCTTAGTGTATCGTGGTTAGTGCATCGTCGAGAGAGCATGTTGACCTCCGGAAACGACTGAACCGAAGAGTCGGGAGCCGTGCTCTGTGTGTCGGCGAGTGCATCGCGAGTTGTAGCGTGGAGAGTCTTGAGAGTACGTGGAGTTCCGAGAATGACCAAGCAGAGTCGGCAGCTGTACTCTGGTGCTTTGCAGTAAAGCTGTCTCCACCGTGATAGCTTGACAACCTAAAAGTTGTGTCGCTGATCGTGTCAGCGTGTTGATAACACTCTGACTATAGTTTGACGACTGTAAACGAGATTTTGGAGCTGTCCTGATTAGTACTGGCTAATAAAGTGCGTTTTGATATTTCATCAAGTAGTATTGTCTTTATTCACTCCAAATCTACGAACCCCGTACGTAACAACTGGTGTCAGGAGTGGGGTTTGCGAGTGAATGCCAGTGACCCGCCTGCAGAAAAAAGCCATGGCGGAAGAAACAAAGACTTTGGTGGACCTTTTAACAGAGTTGATAGCGAGACAGGAGGAGATAAAGGCTGAAATCAAAGCCGAACTGAAAGAGATGAAAGCCGAACTGGAAGGGAAGAAAGCCGAACGAGAAGAAATAAATATAGGCCAAGAAAAGTTTCGAGGGCAACTCTTACAGAAGAAACTGGAGCCACAAAAGAAGACGTGGAAATGACAGAAGTGTTGTCTGAAGAATCGAAGGATGGAGAAATAAATGAAGTAGCTGATGAAGTTTATGAGAAAGATAAAAAAATGAAGGATGAACTGTCTAATGAGATTAAAGAAACAGAACGAAAAGATGAAGAAAAAGACGGGAAAGACGTTTCTCATCCTCAGGTGTCCAAAGCTGAAGTGGAAGACAGTGATAATACTGTTTGTAAAGATGAAGAAACAAACGAAGTGGCTTGCAAAGCTTCTGAAAGAGGAAAAGGCATAATTCATGTAAATAAATTTCCTGATTCTCAAGTGCCTGAAGTGGAAGAAAGTGAAAATGAGACTGTTAAGTTCAACAAAACTGATAGTGAAGTTATGAAGTCGCAGTTAGCAAGTATTGAACTATTTGAAAATGCATGTGATGCAGAGATGAGAGAAGTTGATGTGCAGCTTAAGCAGTGTGCTCCAGTATTGCAAGAAAATTCACCCACTCCACAAATTAAGTGTGTGTCTCCTAATACAGCTTATGCAGATGCGGATTTGATTCTAAACCAGGATACTTATGTTTGTAAGCTATCGGCTATGTTCATGACTCTGATGCAGAATTTGAAGCCGGTTCCCAGGAAATGGGGAAAAACGAGTATGTACCAGCTGCTAAAAATACTGAAGAGAACTGTATGCATGCTGCAAATGAACTTCAGAGTGGTGAACAAACTGTTTTACATCTTCCTGTGGATGGCAAGTCTGAAAGGACTATATCTTCAGATTGTGATACGCAAAACAGAAATGCATCTGAGAATTGCAGTGGAGAAGTATTTGACCCGGGTATATTTTAATGAAAAGACCGAGATTGAAATTCATTTAGAACTTTAACGTATATAATTTAAAATTGTTATGTATCTAATTTGTGTATATAACTTGTATATAGTGTAAATATTTGCTTCTTTAGTTATGTTATTTGTTTGTTTTAGAACCTTTTGTTTGTATTGAATTATGCTTCTGACCAAGGGTTGTACTGCCCGGGGTGTGCAGTCCTTGGGAGGGGGCAGCATTATGAAATGTACAGGCACAGTAAGATGGCTTCCCCGCAAAGCAGTTTTAGGGTTGCCATAAAAAGAAAAGGAAAGGCAGGGTTGCCACATTTGGTGAAAGTTGGCGACAAATTTGGCAATATGCCATGGACGGATGGAGAACCTTCTGGAACAAATTTTTACCAGTTTAGCCCAGAATGTTCTCGAACACAAGCCGAAAGCTATATAAACCCTCCTGGTCTGCAGTCAGGGGAGTGTGCTTCATCAAGAGGGCGAGTCAGAGTGCCTCGTCTGGAGTGCAAGTTAGTTAGCATCGAGTTGGTGTTGCGTCTAGCGAGTCAATCCCTGCGGAGTCGATCGAGTTGACAGCCGGGCAGCGAGTGCCGAGTGGGTCGTTGAGTGCATCGAAAAAGTCTCTTAGTGTATCGTGGTTAGTGCATCGTCGAGAGAGTGTGTTGAGCTCCGGGAACGAGTGAACCGAAGAGTCGGGAAGTATGCTCTGTATGTCATTGAGTGCATCGCGAGTTGTAGGCTGGAGAGTCCCAAGAGTACATGGAGTTCTGAGAACGACAAGGCAGAGTCGGGAGCTGTACTCTGGTGCTTTGCAGTAAAGCTGTCTCCACCGTGATAGATTGATAACCTGAAAACTGTGTCACTGATCATGTCAGCGTGTTTATAACAGTTCGACGACTGTAAATGAGATTTTAGAGCTGTCCTGATTAGGACTGGTTAATAAAGTGTGTTTCGATATTTCATCAAGTGCTGTCGTCATTATTCACTCCAAATCCACGTGAAGCCTGTATGAATGTAAAGGAAGAAAAAACGTAACAACTGGTGTCAGAAAAGAAAAACACAACAATTTCTTACAGGATCTTTTGTTATTATATGGGGACTATAATTTTCATATATGGTCCATTTATTTTATAATATAAAAAGGAAATTTCTAATATCACTTAATAAGAAGTAAGAAAAATTATATTTTAGAACAATAAATTAAAATATTGTTATGAATTTGGTATATATGTAAATAATGTTAGTGAAATTATACCCAAAATTGTAGTATCTCTTATACAATGTAACATGAAAGACCTCAAGAAGGTGATGCTCCACCAAAAAAATACCGTTACAGGGGCAGGCCGTTTAATATTGGGGTAAATAAGCGGACATAACAAGCATCAAGCTGGCAATGGTTTTGATGAATAATTTTGTCACCAAAATTGCCAAAAGTCGTGATCATATAACTCTAATTAGTATTGTAATTGATCCCTATAGATAATTGTAACTGGCCCCTGTATGCAACTTTAAATGTGTATTCTTTCTAGTAATTTCAAGAAATGGAAGGTCCTGGAAATTCTTTAGTGGCCAGGGAAAAATTATAAGACTGGACAGATGATCATTTCTCAACTGCTGTTTAGTTTAGAGCTGACTTTGGAGTATGGAGAGATCTCCATGCGAGTTTCACTCTTTAGATGCACTTTGTATGGCGTTGTGTTCAATGTTCTTAGTAGTTTGAAGTAGTAATTACTAATTGTGCTCTGTCATACTGACAACAGCTGTATGAGTACTTTGGTAGAAAGTTACAGAACTGTAAAGAGTTTTATCAAGTTTTTGAGAAAATAAATTTTATCAAGTTATCATTGGCTCTGTGTGCATTCAATCCATTATGAACCCAACAACATATATTGTTGAGAGATTGGTATATACTGCTTATACTAATATACTTTTATAATTCACTTAGCTTAATGTCTTGTACAAGAATTAGGATTTTGGAAGCAGTCCTTTGTGATTTTATTTTAACGAGGCTTTGAACTATCAGCAATACTCTCCTATTATCTTAAATCATTTCATGTATACTGATAGAAAACCAAACTAAAAGAATTTTTTCCCCTCAGTGCTTCCAATTAAAAACAACCATGCATTTGCATTCCACACCTAGATGCACTAATACATTATGCCTTTTGAGAATAACATATTAAAGAAAAAAAAAAAAAAAAAAAAAAAAAAAAAAAAAAGATAATGAAATGGTATAACCTTTCTATCAACATCTTGAAGAGTTCAACAAATAGATATTTTTAATATAAAATATGTTAGAAGTTATTAATAATACTTAATTCTTACATGAGAGTGAAATTCACTACAAAAAGGGATATTTGCCACTTAGATGTAACTTAATAATATTTGTAAATAATTTATTTCAAATCAACAACTGAGCACACTGGCAATTTATACTGGTATTAAATAACAATCAGATTAATTAAAAAAAAACTGAAGAATATTATTAACTTAATTTTACCAATTAAAAATTCACTTAATGAAAAAAATGTTGAAAATTGAAAGAACAGTTCTTCACCTGCATATGGGGATTCCTTTTAACATATGACAAGTTCCTCCATTTTTACAAACAATATCATCACACGAACTAGGATTGAAAGTTTCACAGTGGGTGCCAGAATATTTTGCTGGACAATGACATGCATAATCAAAGCCATTTTCTGTTTTAGTTGAAACACAGGTAGCTCCATTTAAGCAACCACAGCGATCTTGTTCACACCTCCTACCTTGGAAACCTCGAGGGCAGATGCAAGTTGTTTTTTTCACACCCCTTTTACAAGTACCTTATAAATAAAAATACTTTCTCATCATAAATGGAAATTGAACATTCAGTGGTTACAAGAATTTTACACAGTTTCAATATAATTTTGAATAAAATTAGAATTATACATTTACAATATTTTATAATTTTATTATTGGGTAGGTTGCTTAAGGTTAAAAAAAATAAGCAATTATTCTATAATAATGCAAAGGTAGCCTAGAGCTACAAACTTGGAATGCACATACTCCAAAAAAGATTGTGTAAAATTTAAAAAGATTCTTTTTTTTTTCATTTGCTTTAAAATTTGTGTTGTTTTAATGTGGATGGCTTTGTACAATACATCAATCAGAAGCAAGCCACAGAGAAATTAAGGAATATTTATTAACACTATTGTATGAGCTATGTGTAACAACCATGCTTGTTATATGTGGCGGCTATGCATTTTCTTCAATGAATAACATGAAAGGCTTCACTGACACATCATGCTGGTCTGTTGAGCTAGAGTTTTTACTAGTGAGAAAGAAAGCAGCACTGTTTACATGTTCTTGTGGAGCATTAAACTTTCTTCAGGTTACTTATAGATTTTAAAGTTGTACTCCATTATAATGTAAGAACAAATCAGGAAGATTTAATGTAAAGAAACGAGATGCTAAAGACACAAATAATCAAATGTAAAGATAAATTGTTTGAAAAAATTAATTCTTGTAAAATTGAATGTACATTGCTTGTAAAATTCATAATTTGCTCACTATCGAATCTAATGAAATATTGATCAGTTAGAGAGAATATGATGAGAATTACATCGAAAAATTAATTGATGAACAGTTTAAAATCCAGGAAAATCTAGGCGAAATAATCCTAAAATTAATGAGGGAATATAAAGCACTTAAATAGTGTTCAAAATCAAAGATCAAAGGTGAAAGAACTTCTTAAAAAAAGCATTAAGCTCCAGAATAAAATATGCTCACATTTAGGGCAAATTTACAAGAATGGATGACTTTCTTATAAAAGTTTGTGTGCCTAAAAATCCCAATACATTAGATGTTAAAAAATTACAGGACAATAATACCTCAGATAGTCCAACTATAATCAGTCCAAATTCACTAATTTATTGAATTGAAAATTTCAAACCAAACTTTAATTGTATAAAATAAATTCTAAAAATATTAAGGCCAGTTTACACCTGTCCGAGCTACCAGCAGTGAGCTTCTCGCTACAACTACTTTGACAATGCAAATGCTCACTTCGTTCGAATAGAAATGTAGAGGAGATGAGGCAGAGAGTATGTTTCTACTTTGAACCAGCTGAAAATCTATCCGGGTAGCAACTCCGAGCAGTGTTCGCAAAGACATTGTTCATCATATCGAAAATGCAGAAATGGAGTGATAATCTAACTGTGGCATTTTTTTAATGCATATGCTACCCGAATATTACAACCATTGTTTACTAATACCTAAATATAACATAGATATAACTACTGATCAGAATGAATTTAGTTTTTTGATACTGTACAAAAAACATAGAAGAAAATTAAATTAAGGTATTGGATTCAAAATATTTATTTTAAACATATTTATTTCTGAATTACATTTAATCATAAAACACTTTAATTATATATTAATCAACTACCCAATAAAATACAGTTTTCAATTAAAAAAATAAGTGAAAGGGCAGAATCTTATTTTATTTTGTTGGTATAAATTTCGAAAAACCAGTTTCTAATCATGGCCAATTATGTCTAATAAAATATAATCTAAAATTTTAAAGACTTTGCTTTTTATTTGAACCACAGATTAGATTTTATTTACAAATGATCAGTCGGAAGTATTAAAATAAAAATCGGCAACAGAAGGCATATGAGGCTATTATTAACATGTTAAAATTTGAGGGTGTTGGAGAGTTCAAGCAAAAGATTGATAATTTTCGCGGTGCTACTTTGGTAGACGGTTGCACGGATTTTGGCGAGCGATACGCATAATTGAAAGCATCCCGCATCGCTGTATTGCTTCTCGAGGGGACCATATTCCATATTGAAGGTACTTTTCCTATAGCAAACTGACACCTTCAATTTGTTCATTTTATAAATGTGCTAATTTTTATACTATCATAATTGTCTGGTAATTTATTTTTATGTTATTTGATACCTTACTATGTGTTGTATATTGTGGGCAAGTTTCACAAAATTCTACATGTAACTTTTTCAGTAATCGTGATTTTTGCGATTTTTCCTTAATTTATGATAACCAGTGTATATAAAGAAAGAAATTTATACCTAATTTTCCCCCAAAATCAAAAATTGATATTCAAATAAATAAATTTAAAAAAAATTCTATAAATGTACAATTAGAATTCCGAAAATGTTAAAAGAAAAATTAGAATAAATCATTACAAGAAAAAATAAAATAAATAAAGTAAAAAGGAACATGAAAGAAGAGGAATCCAATTAACTCTGACATAACGTCATCAGGAGGAGGCTACATCGTATATATTATTTTACATGGTTTTGGAGTTATGCAATAAAATACATATTTCACCATCTGTGATTGCCCTTTATATTAACTTTGCTCAGATCATTTCTTCTTAAACTTAACACAAAGAACAACATGCTTATGAAGAACAGACTGAGATTAACACCTCTCTCTAAAATATTTTTGGAATACTTGACATTTTGTCAGAACATATGAAAATTGATCCTAATATTGAACATAATCTTGCAAATCCTATCGATAAGCAATGAAATCTGTTGCTACAATGAAACGTATAAAGAGAAAAGGGCAAAGAAAAGAAATGGACAGATAAAATAAGACAATAATGGATCAGCCAGAAAGTTCTCTCGTTTTTAGAAGATAAACACAAATGAAGCAGTACAAAAATATAAGAAAATTTCATTGAAGCACAAAGTACTATTTTGTTCTATGACTTGTTTTGTTATCTATGACCTATCTATTATTTTGTCATCTTTAGCAGCTGAAATATTTCTTTCTACTAAGATATTAGGATTGTTTGAAAATAAGTTATCAAGGTAGACAAGAGAAACACGCTAATGTGACAATCAAAATCGTAAAAAACAACCTTATATTTAGCGTAGGTATAATGAAACACTCAATCGATTTCGAGGGCAGCTAAAGGTCCCTCCTCATCAGGAGAAAGAAATACATAGAAAGAAGAAAATAGGAATCACAGAAACACGTGGTGCTTATCAGCACTGCACGTGATTATAACTAGATTTTTAATCAGAGTTGCACTGGCCGCCTACTTTTACTGAGCCAGGCTGTCTGATCAAGCATAAAGAAATATTAGCGAAGTTAAAATAGGGAGCGAGGGGCAAATGCACATTAAGCTCAAAATCTGAACTTCAAATAATGGAAAGCAACCACTGAACGGATTTTTATACCCTCTGGTAGTACCAAGTGCGAGGAGGTAACGCCATCTATCGGCAAAAATAATTGAATTAAGACAGTAGAATTTTAAAGGCATAGGAAGGACTGGATGGGACTTCAAATCATTAACTAAACTTTCTAAATCTTTGTGAATGTGAAAAGCCTCAAGAAAATCCAATTCGCCTATGGAAGAAGCCTTTTGGATGATTTTTGCAGACCCAAAATCAAAATTATGGTTAAAAGTCCAGCTATGATACGCTATACTGGAAACCAATAGCCACGTGGAAAGAAGACTTTATGCTCTTCCAAAAGTCCACAAAACCGGTATTCCTTTTCGACCAATTGTTTCCAACATAGGTACTGCTTCATATCCTTTGGCCAAATATTTAGTTTCCAGATTTTCTCCTCTACTTGATATTCACACTGTAAAAAATTCTGTTGAAGTCATTGATAAACTTAAAAATATTTCCCCACTTCGTTCCATTATGGTTCATTTGAGTGTGAAATCATTGTTACTAATGTTCCGGTCGAAGGAGCACTAAATGTCTTGAAAACTAGGCTTCGGGAATTTCACTTCACACATACTGAAATTAATGAGTGGTTTCGCTTACTAAAGTTTCTCTAAGTCAAACCCACTTCGTTTTCCAAAATGCATATTTTCGTCAAGTTGAAGGATTGGCTATGGGTAATCCTCTCAGTCCGGTACTTGCTGACATTTATATGCACTATTTTGAGATAAAATTATTTGATAAATTATCTTTTCGTCTTTGGATTCGGTATGTTGATGACACTTTCGCACTTTTTGACGGTTATAAAGAGGATTTATCCGAGATTCTATCTATTATGAATTCAATTGATCCAGCCATCCAATTCACTCTTGAAATTGAATCCAACAATTCCCTCCCCTTCCTCGATATTCTTATAATCCGCAATGAAACCGATTTTAGCACCACTGTGGTACCGTAAACCCTTTGCAGTTTGTTTACCACCCCATGCCAAGTCATGCCACCCTTGTTAAGCAAAAAATGGCTTCTTTTTACTATTATGTTTTCCGCGCGCTAAAAGTTTGTTCCTCTGAATCTTTGCTTACCAATGAACTAATATTTGAGAGCAGTTGCGATTGACCGTGGATTTTCTCCCGTGATTATTGATAAAGCCGCCAAAAAATTCTCAGATTCCCATCAAAGAAGACATTCTACTGTTAGAAATAATATCAATGACCTTGTCGTGCTTCCATTTTATCCTTCTGTTAGCTATAAAATTGCACGGATTCTCCAGAAAATTCAATTTTCAAGTCGGTTTTCCCTATTAATAAAATTCACCCTTCGATTCTAAAAGATTGCGTTTCTGTCTGAATTCTTGGGGAATTTATAGTATATCATGTCAGTGTGGTTTAAGATATATTGGCCAAACAAAAAGAGCGTTGAAGGTTTCGTATCAAGGAACATGAATCTTATGTCAAAAAGGGGAAGGAAATTAACAAGTCTTCAATAGCGTATCATAGCTGGACTTTTAACCATAATTTTGATTTTGGGTCTGCAAAAATCATCCAAAGGCTTCTTCCATAGGCGAATTGGATTTTCTTGAGGCTTTTCACATTCACAAAGATTTAGAAAGTTTAGTTAATGATTTGAATCCAATC